GCCAGTGGGTAAGAGAGGAAAAGATGCCAGGTCAGAATCGAGGGCTGGCAGAGTAGATTACCAGCAAAGTACAAAGGGATACGGCCATTGAGGATACTGGCAGGGGAGTGATGTACCATGAGCAAAGAGAGAAGGAAACAGGGGAGGGGGATGGGTTGCAGGCCAAAGAAGGGGATAGGGCAGATGGAGAAGGCGTCATCTGGAAACAAGGAGCAGCAAAGAGAAGAGAGCGTGAGGAAGCTAACAGGGAAAGACTGTCACTGGGATTTCATATTTTCCATGAGGAAGTCTGGGAAGTCGGAAGCTAGACGGCTCTATACAATGTATACGTTACTCACACACTCTGAGGCCTGAGGTGGTAACAGTAGCTGGGTGGTGAAAAAAACAGCAACAGCTCCCACCACCCACAGTGCAGGGAAAATAATGCCCCCAGGGGTATCCCCAAATCATATTTGTACCTGATTCCTAGAATTGGGTTCTCAGAAAAATCACTCCTGGAAATCCATCCTCTCCGGTATATCTTTATACATAATTACGAAGAGGGGCTTGGACTAGAAGCAGAGATCAATGCATACTACCCCATCTAGCACACAAAATTATTATATTAAGTAGAGAAGAAGCAAGTTAACCTATAAAAATGTACTTGAGGAAGTCAGAGATCAGATGTAAAAATGTTAAGACATTTCAGACGCTCTGTACACATTTCCTTAGGATACAAGAAATAAAATAGCTGGAAAATGCCAAAACTTGTGTTGGCAGCCCCTTCTACTTTGCAAACAAGGAACAACTGACCAGAGCACAGAAGAATTAGAAAACTTGTAAGTGACCATTCATTTTTTTCCAAACAAATAAGTGCTTAATTATCTGGATTATATATGATAAACAAACAAAACTCTTTGTATTTTCAAAGGTTTATTTCAATCACTAGAATTTTTTATGTCTCACTAAAGAACCAAGCATAGTCAACACTTTGTTCTGGCAATTCATCAGAGCTAAAATAACACAAAGGCATGCAGCAGAACAAAAACTACACAATTTAACCTTTTTCATTTACACACAAGAACAATTCATAAATCGTTGTGGCTTTAGACATTTCCAACTCTTTCTACACACATGTTTATACTTACTCAGAACATTTTACTTTCAACGTTCGAAAAGTTTTAGGCGAAGTACTTTTACATTAGAAGAGATTAACTGTATTTTCTGACCTTTTATACTTCAGGTCTCATTTTATTTTATTTATTTTCATTTTTTTATTAATTTTATTATGTTAGTCACCATACATTACATCATTAGTTTTTGATTCATTTTTTGCATATAACACCCAGTGCTCCATGCAATATGTGCCTTCTTTAATACCCATCACCAGGCTAACCCATCCCCCC